TTTTTTTTTTTCAAAGAAACAGGGCCTTATGATCCTGGCTCCTTCTATTCTGGGGAGCGTCAGTCCGCTTCCTATTCCACCGGCAAGTCAAAGTAAGTATTAGATCAAGAAAACTCACATACGCTTCCTGTTCTTTTGACAGGGAGTTTTTAATACTTTTTTTATCAGGACTCGAACTCACGATCTGTTCAAGGCACAATTTTATATCTCAAACCAAAGATCGATTTTCAAAAACAAAACAAAACAAAAGTTGAAAAAACATATATTCTGCTTTCTGTAGACTAATGCAACAAAACAGCCAAAAATGAAAAACTGATGACCTATTTCAACATACAAGTCCTTCGTACAATTCCACTGCACAGGCCGGGCACAGGCAGGAACCGTGGTTGCGCTCACCTCTGGGCACATAAATGTCACATCAAGTCCTGATGTCTAAATGTGGCAAATGCCAGGTTTGGAAACAGTGTCACCCAATGACCCTCCCCTTCCCTCCCCTCTCCCTAACCCCTCCCCCACCTTCCCCCTCTCAACGCCCCCCCCGCACCCCTCTCCCCCACCCCCCAAAGTTTCCCACCTCAGAACCCACACTAATTGCCCTCATGTCCTCAGAGTGATAATGTAACACCACTTGAAAGGCGAGAGCCCAAAGACCAATGGAAGACGTGAGGGTACTTCAGGGAACACCAACGTTTTGTAATTCTTTTTTTTTTTTTTTTTTTTTTTTTGAAGGGGGGTGTAAGGGTGGGGGTTAACTTCTAATTCAGAAACACCTAGCTCTCGTCCCACTAAATAACATGAAAACGATGAAAGGAAAACAGGTGTAAGATGAGCTAAATAAAATTTAATAAATATTAATATTATTAAGTGCGTCATAGCATGCTCTTTCTTGATTCCATAACTGGAGGTACATTACCGTTCTTCGTTGGTGGAGTGATTTTTCTGGTTAATTCCGTTTCAACTTTAAAGTTTAAACTTTAAACCACCACTACCTTTCCCATACATCAGCCATGGGCGAGGCCCGCCGAATTTCCAAGTCCAGTATCGCAACAAAAGCCGCTGATGGAATTCGTCAACTCTGCCGTTGGGCCCAGCCTCTGGAGATCCGGTAGAGGTTATATTCCCACTTGCAAGTACACTGTGAAAGGTAGTGGTGGTTTAAGGGAACTGAAAACACACACACACACACACACACACACACACACACACACACACACACACATGCACACACACACACACACAGAACATGACACATGAGGACAGCATGACTGTAGCTCCAATAGGCAGCATAGTCCAAGCGCAACCGGATTAAAGCTCAGCTCAACTATGAACAACCACTAACTCGGAAAACAAAGAAATCCATTCACTTACTTGAAAAAAAAAAAGAAGGGGAAAAGAACAGGAATTTACTATTGAGGAAACAATTACCTGATGCGCTGCAGCCACCCTTTTCAGATAAGGAAGGTCTGCAATGGGCCCGACTGGGAAGCGTTTGTGGACCAGACCATCATGCACAAACATGTATGCAATTCCGAATAGCGTGATGCCAAGACCCTGCACAGGCAAACAAAACAAAACACATGCATGCCCGTCATTTTTAAGCATGTTCTACCTTCCCCTATCAAACTCCCTCAGTCATTATTATCCACAAACTCTCTCTCTCTCTCTCTCTCTCTCTCTCTCTCTCTCTCTCTCTCTCTCTCTCTCTCTCTCTCTCCTGCTGCTCCTACTACTGCTGCCACTACTACTGCCACTACTGCTGCCACTACTGCTGCCACTACTGCTGCTACTACTACCACTGCTGCTAGTACTGCTGCCACTACTGCTGCTACTACTGCTGCTACTACTGCTGCTACTACTGCTACTACTACCACCACTACTGCTCCCATTACTACTACTACCTCTACTACTACTACTACTACTACTACTACTACTACTACTGCTGCTGCTGCTGCTACTCCTACTGCTGCTGCTACTCCTACTGCTGCTGCTACTCCTACTGCTGCTACTGCTCCTACTGCTGCTCCGACTTCTACTCCTGCTGCTGCTGCTGCTACTACTTCTGCTGCTGCTCCTACTGCTGCTACTGCTCCTACTGCTGCCTACTGCTACTCCTACTACTACTTCTGCTGCTGCTCCTACTGCTGCTACTGCTGCCTACTGCTACTCCTGCTGCTGCTGCTACTACTACTTCTGCTGCTACTGCTCCTACTGCTGCTCCTACTGCTGCTCCTACTGTTACTGCTGCTCCTACTGCTGCTGCTGGTACTGCTCCTGCTACTATTACTGGTGCTACTACTATTGCTGGTGCTGCTGCTACTACTGCAACTGTGTTACTACTAGTACTACAACTTCTACTACTACTATTCATTCTCTTGTCTTGTTTATCTCATTCCACTTCTTTTTCAGTTGTGATGAATGGCATCCTCTCAAACTCGAGTTTTGCATCAAGAATTGGCAGGATCATAAGATTCATAACACATTCATCTGACTACCGGTAGATCCGACCACCCACCAAACTGGATCTCTCACCATCCATCAGACCAACTGCCTGATCAAACACCTAAACTGTGTGATGGATACGCCTATCATCCAACCAACATACCCTCGTACCTACCCATCCACCAATGCGAGCAGCCAACGAATGAACAGATAGTCAGACAACATGAATAGATGGATATACAGGAATGAAACCACTGTAAATCAATGGACATAGAGGAATGTCTGAAAACGCGGCTGGTCAGGTAACCTTCAAAAGAGAAACTAGAGAAGAAAAGGTTTACCAATGACACAGATACTGAACTAAGCCCACACTTACGGGCGCTGGACCCGATTTCAAGCAGGTTTTTTCTCTAGTCGAAGCTGGGCAGTGGGCCCAGTCGGGCCCAGTCACTTCCAGTTAGTTCAATCCACGAGTATTGTGAGATCTGTAAGGTCCCTGGCATCATTTTGATGATGTTTTGAAATAGGTTCAAGCGTCCAACCATTGGGGGGGGGGGGGGGGGGGGGGGGGGGGGAAGGGGAAAAAAAACATTTACG